AGAGCTTCTGCTGGGGATGATGAAATGACATAAGAAATGATACAGAAAGGAATAGGACAGCATTAGGCATTTAAGGAAATCTCTGTCATTGTTGATTAAATATCATCCATAGAACCCTCATCAAATTTCTGTATCAGCTCCTTTGGGAAGGGATAGAGGAAAGATTACGTTTAAAAGTTTATATTCAAGGATTAAACCAAATAAAAAATACTGTAAGTCTTTTGCTTCTCACGGCTCTAGTTTATTTGATTTGGGGATACATTGATCCTCTGTTAAAAGCTATTTGGAGAAACTCTTCTGATACATTCACATATTTCCAACCCCAGAGAGGCAACATCAAGCGTCTGTGAAAGGCCTCAATTTCATGAGTAGTGGTAAGAGAGAGGGCTTGCATTTATAATCACTTGGCACAACTGATCCTGGGCTGTTAGTATTCATCCCTTGTCTTTGTCTTCTCAGAATATCATTTGGGCCATCCTATTGTCACTCTGTGCTGAATATCATGTAAAAGATACATGTTCCTACAAATACATGCAGAGATAAGCATTCTTTGAGAACAGATTTTTACACAAATGAGAGAACAGCTCAGCACAGAGGCCTCTGTTCTATAGATTCTCTTGTAAATTTTAAATATAGCATGTAAGCAAAGATACTTACAACTTTAGTCTTTTTTCTGAATGTACAAAGTGATTTTAAACTCATTATCCAGGGAGTAAAAACAAGTACATTTTCTTTTAAAATCACGTGCTGTTCGATAGAATGCAGTTTGCCCTTCAGAGGCAGGCAACACACTTAGGCACACTGTGAGACCGATGACTGTAGCATGAGAGATTAGAACGTGCTAATCACGCCACGTCGGCTAGTGCCTAGTCTGTCTCAGAGGAAAGAAATTTAGGATTGTATAGCAAATGGTATGTGGTTTTCTACAATAAACTCCTACTTTTTCTGAGAAGATAAGCTTACCAGGTTTAAAATATAGGTACTAACATTCTTATTAAGTTCCAATTTTTGACTTTCCAACAGTGATTAGATGCTTTTGTCTTCACTACTTATTACCTAAGTGAATAGACTTACTTACACCTCAATGGTGCTCAGATAATTAAATGTTTAAGAATGGACTTATGTGAGCAGAAAAAGGCACTACAAGCTCAGAGGATGTAGGTGGTTTTGAAATAGTGTGCTGATATAACACATTCCTCACAGAGTCCCAAATCTAGAAGCACATTGGGCAGGCATGGCAATGTTTTGTTTGCGCGTGTAACTTTTATTGTATTCACCTACTCTGTTCATTGAAATTATTTGAAATTCTTCGTTCAGGTCTCGATCAGCTTCACTCTTAGCAGGCTTCAACAGTATGTCTGTTACTTTTCTGTTGGTGCTATAGCTTGGATCTGTGTAGAAGGGAGTTCCATATTGTCCACTGTTGGCACTTAGTAGATTTGTTGATGGGATTTTTTAGCCATGTGCCTAAAATTAGATCATGGAAGCATTTGCTTCTATCTGTTTCTGTGGTACCAGTCTCAGCATACAAGAAGTCAATTGTAGGCTTCACCCACACTACCTAAGGATTCTTCTTGCTAGAAGATTACTAAGGAAGAGAAGCCCACAAACTCTCCTCATTAAGTAAAATGAGAACCAGGGCTCAGCTCTGCTTTGCGAGTGGCATGGTGTGTGTAAATGGCTGCAATGCTCAGAAACAATTGTATCAAATCCTAGCTTGACTACTTGCTAACACAGTAACTTCAGGCTAATGAAATTATCTTTTCTGTCCCTCTTATTCATCAGTTAAAAATTAACTAATAATAATTCTTATGAGCATTGAATGAGGGTAACATATATGAAACTCATAGCTCACTTTTGTCAATTAAGAACAGTTATGTCTTATTTTATGCCATCAAGTGATGTTGCGTCCCATGCTGTTCTCTTCCTCCTGTTTACTCCAGTGGGCACTGCTGTGCCAGTGTTGGACAGTGTCTCCTCATGCTCCATGCTGGACCCTAGGAGGTGACCACACGGAGACAGAGCTAATGGTGCTGCTGCTCAGCATCCCAAACTCCCTCCACCAATTCCAGGCAGAAGTCAAAGAGGAGACCCATGACAAAATGAGTGTCCCCTGCCCATCCTAGCTGGGAATCTTTTTATTTTCACCATAAACATGTTTTATAGCCTATGAGATGTGTTTCCAAAACACCAAAACGCCTAATGTTCCCATACGCTTTTTCAAAGAATGCTTACTCTATTGCCACTGCTGATCTTTGAAACTGATGTTATTTTCCTTAGCACTGAATCCCAGACACATTAAGCTGATTGTCATTTCGGTATCTAGCCATCCACGTATTTCATTGACTTAACTGGTAAACTGATTACGTCTCAAAATTTTTCCGAATTCCATCTATGTGAAATACACCGAGACTGAATCCTTTGTGTGATAAGAAAAGTTTATATGGCTTTAACTTCATTGGTATGTGGGCATTGTTTTGCTGGAATTTAATGATTAAGAGAGAATGGAAAAAAATGGGGGAAAATATTAGGAAAGAGCAATATAAAAACAATGTTCATTTATAATGGTGATCAAGAATAAAAATGGTGATCTATCTATATCCACTAAAATGGTAGGAAATAAGATTTAACTACATGAGAAAAATGTTGATTGAATTAAAAAGCATCTTGGTTCTAACAATAGAATCTATTAGTATAACTAAAATATCCGACTGGTAAGACTTTTTAAGTGAATAGAACATCACTAGGCAAAGCAGGCTGGATGGATATATAATTCCAGAAGTTTCCTTCAAAAGGAACATCACTGGTTTCAGGTTTGAGATCTATGTGTCCCAAAATCATTCCTCTGTTTTTTGTTTCTATGGTTCTCATGAATAAAAAATATTAGATGATTTGAAACACAAATAATTAGCACCCTAAACCAACTTTTTGTTTTGCTGACATTTTGTATCGATCTTTTTGTCTCTATTTCATTTAGTTCTGCTGTGATCTCAATTATTTCTTTCCATTTATTTGTTTATGGATTAGATTGTTCTTGTTTTCTAGTTCTTTGAAATTTAACATTAGGTTGTTTATTTGAAGTCTTTCTATTCTTTCAGTGTAAGCAATTATTGCAATAAACTTCTCTCTTAGTGCTGCTTTTCCAGTATCACATAGGTTTTGGTAAGTTGTACTTGCATTTTCATTTGTTTCAAAAATCTTCATAATTCTTACAACAGCAGAATTAGTAGCTAAAATATGTAAGTTAAGATGATATGCTTATACATTGAAAACAAATGCTGATAAAACTAATTTAAAGTGCTGATTAGTAGCATTTTGTTGTAAGATATGCTTAACAATTTAAAATTTCCACTAGAATAAAAAGAACATGATAGGGCCAGCCCCGTGGCGCACTGGAGAGTGCGCCGCTTGGGAGCGTGGCGGTGCTCCTGCCGAGGGTTCGTATCCCATGTGGAGACCGGTTCCCGCTCACTGGCTGAGCGTGGTGCGGGCACAACACTGAGGGTTGCGATCCCGTTGCCGGTCAGTAAAAAAGACAAAAAGGAAAAAAAAAAAAAAAGAACATGATAATTTTTAGTTTAGATTAATCAGAAAAAAATATTACAAGGGTTATACCATATCACCTAAGAAGAAGGCATTAATTTATATATTGGAGCAGTGTAGGAGGTTTTATGTTTTACCAAGGAACATATTTAGGATGTGATTTAGGCTCACAAATCATTTTAGATCTTGGTGAAAAGTTAAAATATCACTGAGTTACAAATCATATTTTACCTAACTGCTAAC